ATCGAAGTTGAAAGATCAGTCCACGAAATAAAATCAAGTAAAATCAATTCGGCTCGTAAACAATCGACTAAGGGAAAAAACGAGGATGCGATACGTCATGGCTCGACGAAAGTAGGTCATCAGGTCGACATAAGGCAATTCGGGAAAAGAGAAAAAGAAAACTAATAAAGGCCGACATGATAAAGAAATCGACAAGAGGCCGAGTGCTAAAGATCGACTACCAACAAGACAAAAACAGCAAATCGAAGCGAGGTGTGCGCCTAAAGGATCTAGCACGAAATTTGTAATAAAAAGAAAAGAAACTTGAAGATCACGAAGAACTCATCCTGATATTAAAAACAAAGCAAGCAAAACCGAAAACCCAGAAAAATAACAAAGAAGAGGTAAATTGATGGAGAATAGATCAACCACTTACCCATTTTACTCATGATTGGCTCGAGGAAATTGACTTGAACACCAGAGTTGTTGGAGAAATTTGCCGGAGAAAAGGAGATCGCCAGAGTTGCAAAGGAAACTTAGAGATTGAGAAATTCAGAAAGTGAAAAGTGTTTGAAGGAGAAGATCAACTATACTTATATATGACAAGAACAAATGAGGACCGTTAGATCAATAGGGAAGTCAGCGGCTCAGATGAAGCGCGGAATACGAAGAGTCGGCGGTTGAAATGACGCACGTCACTTCAAAAGTTTTTGAAATTCAAAATTCAAAAGGGATGACAGTGTCAGAGTTATCCTTGAGGGTAATCATGAGTAAAAAAGAAAGGGAAAACAACCGACTTGTGTGACAGAATGCGAGAAAATTTCTTTCCTACTTAGTTATTTCCTCCCCCTCGATGTCCTTTACCAACTGAAGTCAATGCCTTAAACCATGTAATTTGAGTCAAGAGAACTCGAAAATTGAATAGTTATGATTACTCTTAAGCATCTGACTGCTTAGAGTAATTCGTTGGGGGGGGGGGAGACTAGATGATATAGACGCGATAAAGACAAGTCGGTTTAGAGGCTTTACTCAACCCTAAAACTAAGAACCAGAAATATCTCGACATCGGCTCATCGAGATGTTTAGGATAACCCTCACGAAGTCGACCTGTAGCAAAGCAAGAACTAATAACACCCCGTAGCCGGTGCCTCGAGGTCGACTTTGCTTAAGTCGACCTGTCAAAGTCAGTTGCAATAAAATCAATATATTCTAACCACGGAGATCGAAACCTAGAAGGAATTGTCCCTATTCGAGGTCGACTCCTCACATGTCGACCCAATACGCATGATGACGACTCCCCATGACCTGTTCCTCATGAACCTGTGGGTACTTCAAGGATAAGAAGGATCTGGAAGATGACTCAGCAAAGGGGGGGGGACGAATCGACCAGGGCAATTTAGACCTTTCAGGACCACCGACCTAGGATATTTTGGGCATATCGGGTAATTTTCCCTCCTATAAAAAGGAGAAGAGGTAGCCCTAAAACCCTAACTCTCATTCATTTTCATATTGCTCTCCATAGCTGCTGCTCCCTCAGAGCAGCTTTCTCTCTCTCTCTCTCTCTCTCTCTCTCTCTCTTTCATACTGACTTGAGCGTCGGAGGCTCTTCGCCGGAGACACCTCCGACATTGAGTTCGTGCAGGTATTCTCGTGGTCCAATGGCGATTCAGAGGTGATTCAGATAGATCTGAGCTCATTCCTACCAGTTCATTCTAGATCTGGGAATAGACCCATCAGGTTCTAAGAGCCGATTAAATAATTATAGAAGATGATTAATCAACTAGTCCATATAGAGTTATCAATATCACGCGAGAACGAATCAAATTCAATCAAAGATTAATTGGAAATTGAAATGTCACCCTTCAACAAATCTCCACATTCAAGCATAAATCGAAATCTCTAATTAGAATGAATCGCATAAAGTGAACAATCGACGAACTCAATAATCAGACATGAATCCTAAACATCATCCCCTAATCCTTAGCAATTGGGATTAGTTACTCATATCGAGTTCAACAACATCAATCGAATTAACCCAAGCAAACACTTCCATGGATAAGATGAAGAGAATAACTTACGGTTAAAACAAGATTGAAAACCAAATCTGATATACAAGATTAATCCGAAAGCAACGATGAAATTAGAGTTTAAATCTGAATTCGACTATGTAAATTATTGAAGAAAAGTGAAAGAACGAGTTGAAGAGAAAAGAAGAAGGGTTTCGGTGTTTTCTCCCGTAAGAATAATATGGGCATGGTTCGTATCCGATCTTCATATTTATAGTTGTCATGGCACGGCGCGACAAGGATGGCAGCACGACGTGAGACTTCCAGGCGGCGCGGCGCGGGGGTTGGTCGCGGCACGACAAGCTTCACGGCAAGGCAAGGCGTAATGCTGGAGAGCTCTGTCGACTTCGTGGCGGAGTCGCGGCGCGGCGTGGCAAG